CAAATTTTCTTTAAATTTTGCTGATTAGTAGAGTCTAGGCCAATGTTGAAAAAGCCAAAAAAAAACTTGTAAAAGTAAATTCCCCGCCCGGTTACACCTCAAATTTACAGAATTTGCCATATTGCCACTTGATATGCCTAAATGGTAATTTAGCTCGTATTGAATAGAATTTAATGCTTTTTTGTTTATTAGGTTTATCATGTCCTGAGAGTTTAAATGGGTATTTATTATTTAGTTCTGATAAAAAAAAATCACATAAATATAATGGAAAAAATTTCAAATAAACGTAAAAAAGACGAAGTTTTAAATTTTTTAAGGAGGTACATTTTAAACAGAATTTTTTGCTTTACAACATATCAAAATTTGAAGATGGGGATTTTTTGGTATTTAGAGGTCGGAGCTGGAACAGGATGTAAAATTGAAAAAAATCCACTATTTTTACAGTAACCCAATGTTTTTTACAATGGCGAAACCATCCGGAGGCGCTCCTGAATGCCGCAGCGGGCAGCTACAAAGATCCAGTGTGCTTTTAACACTGGAAATTTATTACCAAAACTGTATTTTACTTTAATAATATTAACAAATTATTATTCTGCAGAAATATAAGAGGTAGTCTCTGCTCGAGCGTCCTCTACGTCTCATATTTTATTCTTTCAAAATTGTTTGGATAGTATACATTTTGGCGTCGCAAAGAACTGGAAGGACTGACTACTTTATCTGGGTATCTGTTGAAATGAAATTTTTCTTAAAACTTTCTATCTTTTTGGAGAACTGCAGCACGAAAATTCAAAGAAAAACAGCGAGTCGAGCTTCTCTTCGCTTGTCCAACCAAAAGTTCAACGAGCACAAGATGGAAATATTTTTAAGAAGTAGAAAACGCTGGAGTGAAGGCTACGTCTCACAACTCTGCTGGATAATAGTCTGTTAATATTATTAAAGTAAAGTGCGACTTTTGTTGCAAATTTTGAAATTGTGGTTAATATTTTTATGACCAGTAAGCCAAAAGAGTCAGGGTTCCATTTCGTAAATAACACGAAGCCATTTAGCAAGCCCAGGTAGTTTCACAAGGCAAATAAGCTTCTTTTTAAACAAATACGCATCTCAAACACTCTGCTTACATTCTTTTGTAGCTTCTAGAAATCATCTTCGTGCGCAATTTGAGCGTTCTTTGGAAGGAACAATCAATGATACTTTCAGAAAATTTGTACTACACAGATCGAAATGGTGCTACTAATAAGAGGGATTCGACAAATAACTTCCTCAGTACTTTAAAAGAAGAGGACTCCATTAATTCACCGACACAAGCAGAGGATTCAGAAGAGACAGCTGGCGTCAGCGACGGGAAATGAAATACCACACGGCCAGGTATTATTTAAAAAATTTATTTGAAGAGATTGCTAAAACAGGTTGTACACCGCAGCAAAATTTACTTACTATCAGGGACGGAATAAACAGAAATGAAGACTCTTGTTACATTATTTATGTGGAAACAGTTATAAACTTTTAAATTCTGTTTCTGAAGTGAAAGAATGGTTTTGCCATGTTTGTTGTCAATAATGCATCATCTAAATATGTGAAGTTATGACAGTGTAACGTAATTGTGTCTGGTGTAACGTATTTTAGCTCGCATTTGCGGCGCCGGAACTAAAAGAGTTGTCGCCTACAACAAGTGAAGAAACCTCTTCATATCTGATAAAGTTTACTTACTTGTGTGTAACAAAGTAAATTTCAAATCTTGTGTTTCTTTCCCGAACCTAATCTCTTAGTTTCCAACTTTATACACTTGCACCGTACCGGCTTCCACTTACGTAGTGGCGGAAATCAAGGGCCAAGTGAGTTGAGACAGTGTCTTCAAAAAATAGTTTCCATTTCAGAAGTTGAAAGACGGAAGTGGAAAAGTCGGTAAAGACTTCCATTTTATACTGATTGTTTGTAGGTGCGAACACTGGCTTAAAACAAGTTTTTATGGTTTTGCTAAAAAGGAGATTAGGTACTTTACTAGATGTTTTTATTTTGGGGAATGAGTTATTTACAAAATAGAGATAATTTCCACTAATAAAAAGTAAATCTGGAACAGAAAATTGTACCCCAACAGATTTAAAGAATTTAAAATCGTTATACTTCACGGACTGGGAACATTTAAGTAATTTGCTTCCTATTTTAGGGCATGTCGTTTTAAATTAGTGATTTGGTTGGAGACGTAGAGAAAGTAATTAAGCGATCGGAGTCTTTATATTCAGAAATCTCTTTAAGAAGAATAAGGAAGATTATCTGTAAATTTGGTATTTTGTCTGCCATATTTGGCGTCCTTTTCTCGATTTTAAAATGTACCGTCGACCAACAACGCCCGAGAACTCCAAGACAGTTTATGAAATACTTTCCCAACATTATTAGAAGATATTGTAGCAACGCAGTCAAACAGTATGAAACAAACGAGGATGTCAAGTTCCAGGAACCTTAGTGTTACTTTTAAATCTTCTCAGAAGAACGTGCACCATGAGTTCACTAATAGTAATTATGCTAGAAATCTTTAGTGAATCAGCAACCTTATAGTCGTCCATTGTTGAAAAATTTGAAAATAGGACCGGTTCTAGGGAAACTTGAAAAGTTGCATTGGTTAAATTGCATAAAACGAGTAACTCCGTGGCAAAACGTTTTGCGCCTGTTCAGTGACCACCCGGTCCCGATCCGCAAACAATTTCCTCAAGGGCAGATTTCAGATTTCTAACTGCCGTGTAAATGAAAGCGTCAATTATACGGCGAAGAATTCGTCTGCTGAGCCTACGTCATGAATTCTAGTGGACCAGTGCTACTGGATTTTCAAAACTAAGTGAATTAATAAATGGTGTGATCAGCGGAATAAAAGCAAATTGCACTGGACACTTCTAGAAAAGATTCTTAAAGTTTTTTGCTGAATTTTCGATAAAGTTCAAAGCAAGTCTGAGATGTCGGAAAACAAGTGAGATACTAAGGAGTCGATTTGACGCAGTTTTATACACCATCTTTTTGGCTGCAAGATTAGTGTTACAGTGCGTTAAAAGTTTATCCTGGGAGCTTTTCCACAAGTGACGAACAGTCAGTGGGTGAGAAGTATTAACGCTAAACTGCTTTAAAGACATGAAAAGCATTAATTCGACCAGAGTTAAGTGGTGAATTCATACTCAAGTTATTAATGTAAAAGTAGTCTTTCAACATTTGCAAACTAAAAGAAAGCTCAAAGTGGACGGGATTACTACGTCCACTAAATGCAATGCTGCTTTTTTCTGGTGAGAATCCTTCTAAACCAAAACCGGTGATTTGGATTTTAGAGAACAGCTTTTACATTATTCCCAGTGGGGGCCTTGATTTTAACAACAAATGGAGGCTGGAGTATTTCAGTTTATCAAGACTTCAAAAAGTATCACCTAAAATACAGGTTACACTTTTCATGAACGTCGCAGGTACCGCAGTTACAAACCGCGCTACTGCTTCTGACGTCGCACATGATCTCTAGCCTATATGAGTGTCGACGTATGAGCAGATGTCAAGAATCTCAAACACAGGGACTGAACGTAGGGTTGCAGTGAAAAAAAAATTTGTAGTAAGCACTTTTAACTGCAATAGTATCTAAAGCAGTTCTGCAATCTATGCACAAGTAACAGTTGAACCGATGAGATGAAAAAGAGAACTGAAGCTTTACGGGAGAAATCGTTTCTTCTTCAATTAAGCACAACTGGAAGTAACAGAAAGATAAAGGGAGCCAGAGAGAGGCTCGTAGATTTCCAATTTTTTCAACTACTGGTCCTTTTCAAACCAAATTATTACTAAGCAACAAATTCTTTCGGCTTCAATAAAATAAGATTAAAACAGTGACGACCAGCCCAGAACCGGCAACATACCGTACACAAACGTGCTACGAAAGCCTGACATACTTTTACGGAGGTCGCTCTTGACTCTCTATAACACGCTGGCGGTACACCGAAACTGCTAGACCTGTCTATGCTGTTTCAAAACCTTTCCAACAAGAACAGTTTACACAGACCTTTTCATTCAAAAACAACTTCAGTCGATTCCGCCAAAAAGAAATGCGCGTCTGCTGGAACAGTTGCTGGGACATGAAGCTTATTACGGACATGGCTCCAAAACACTTTTCAAGCAGTAAGAGTCTTCATTTTGAGGAGGTGTTGTAGTAATTAGAGTGTCTAAATAACAACCAGTTGAACTGTACTAATCCAAAGGTATCCTATTATTTATTTTTGATATTGTTCAGATATTTGAATATTTACTTTTTCGAGCGATACCGAGTTCCTCATAAAAGCCTGATGCATTTCCGCAAATCTTTCGTCGATCCAGAACATATCCCGGAACCAGCTTATGCGTATAAGGAAGCTTTAAGAAACTGGCCAATCAATGTGCTAGTTTGATCAGGAGTCACCAATGGATTCTTCGAGTTACGCCCCTTTATTTGGTAATAG